CCCTCCCCTATTTCCCCCCGACAGACCCCAGTGTGTGATGCTCCCCTCCCTGTGTACCTCTGCAACAATCTTGCATGTTCTTCACATGTACCCCAAAACCTAAAATGCAATTTTAAAAACCCTCAAAATGTATTAAAGATTTAAATGTAAATGTAAATCTGTACAATTTTTAGAAGAAAACGTAGGAGTTTCAGCCTTAGGAGCAGGTAAAGATTACCTAAAAGGACATCAAAAGCACATGCTATTTCTTTAACAATGATATATTGAATTTCACTGAAATTAAAAACTCCTGCTCTTTGAAAGATAGTGTTAAGGAAATGAGAAGGAAAGAGACGCATTGTTAGAATATATGATCAGTTCAGATTTGTGCCAAACATACCTCTGATTTCTGGACTACATAAAGAATTCTTACAATTCAATAATGAACGACGCAGTTCTTTTCATTTTTATTTCTGAAACAGAGCCTTCCTCTGTTGTGGGAGGTGGCAGTGGTGGGAGAGGTGGAAGAGAATCAGGGGTGGCAGAGGTGGGAGAATCACTTGAACCCAAGAGGCAGAAGTGGCAGTGAGCTGCGATCGCACCACTGGACTTCAGCCTGGGCAACAGAGCCAGACGACCTGTCTCCAAAATACAAGAACAAAAAAAGTCAACCATACACTCTTCATGTGACTCTAAAACTTCACTCTTACATACTTATCCAAGAGAATTGAAAAATGTGCCCGCATACACCAAAAACGTTCACAGAAGGGTTATTTATAATTGTCCCCAAACTGGAAGCAATACACATTTCTACAGTTGGATTGATAGCTACACAATCTGCTAGTACTTAGCTGTAAAAAGGAACACACTGATAAGGCATGCAACAGGATGAATGAATCCTAAAAATAGTATGGTGACTGAAAGAAGCCAGATGTAAAATAGAAATATTTTATAGATTTAATGTGACTCCATGTATGTGAATTCCTAAGACAGGTACACCTACAGTTGACTGGAAGCCTCACTAAAGCATAAACAATTAATGCATATTTTGTATGCTCTGTGTATTATATACTGTATTTTTTTAATTTTTGACACGGAGTCTTGCTCTGTCACCAGGCTGGAGTGCAGTGGCGCAATCTCAGCTCACTGCAACCCCCGCGCACGGGTTCAAGTGATTCTCCTGCCTCGGCCTCCCGAGTAGCTGGGACTACAGGCATGCACCGCTATGCCCAGCTTATTTTTATATTTTTAGTAGAGACAGGCTTTCACTATGTTGGCCAGAATGGTCTTGATCTCTTGACCTTGTGATTTGCGCACCTCAGCCTCCCAAACTGCTGGGATTACAGGCGTGAACCACCACGCCTGGCCTATATACAGTATTCTTACAATAAAGTAAGCTAGAGAAAAAAAAAAATGCTGTTAAGAAAATCATGGCCGGGCGCAGTGGCTCGCACCTGTCATTCCAACACTTTGGGAGGCCAGGGTGGAAGAACTGTTTGAGGCCAGGAGTTTGAGACCAGCCTGGACAACATAGTGAGACACTCACGCCTACAAAAAATTAAAAAAATGAGCCAGGCATAGTGGCATGTGCCTATAGTCCCACCTACTCTGGAGGTTGAGGTGAGAGCATTGTTTGAGTCCAGGAGGCTGAGAATGCATGAGCCGTGATCGCACCACTGCACTCCAGCCTGGGTGACAGAGTAAGATCTTGTCTCAAAAAAAGAAAAAGGAAAAAGAAAGGAAAGAAAGAAAAGAGAGAGAGAGGGAGGGGGGAAGGAAGGAAGAAAGAAAGGGAGGGAGGGAGGGAGGAAGGAAGGAAGGAAATCATAAGGAAGAGAAAATACGTATACTGTTCATTAAGTGGAAGTGGATTATCATAAAGCTTTTCATCCTCTTGGCTTCATGTTGAGGAGGCTAAGGAGGAGGAGGAAAAGGAGTTGGTCTTGTATCAGGGTGGCAGAGGTGGAAGAAAATCCTTGTATAAGTGGACACATGCAGTTCAGACCTGCGTTGTTCAAGGGTCCACTGTGATCTATAATGATGGAAAAATCAGCAGCAGCAGCCAGAAGGTGAGGAATTGGGAGACGCGGTGAAAGAGCTTTTGATCACCAAGGAGCACGAAGGAATATTTTGAGCGTCTAGGAACATTTCCTAGACCTCATTTGTGGCTGTGGTAACTTGGGTGTATACATTAGTTGAACGTTATTGAACTGTGTGCTTAAAACTGATACTTTTATTGTATGCGAAGTACTGAGCAATAAAGTTGATTGTTTTAAAATATAAACTAAAATAAAAATAAGACTCCAGGCAGCTCTAAATATTATTTTGGAGGTCATCCAGTGCTCCTAGCTAAATTAAGAAAATCTCTCTAAGTGCCCTTCTCAAGCTTACTGAAGAATATGTGTATATATATATATATATATATATATATATATATGCATATGTGTATATGTCTATGTCTATGTGCATGTTAATATGCATGTGTGTATATTTATGTATATGGTGTATATGTGCATTTGTGTATAGGTATGCATGTGTAGTACATGCATGTACATGTAGATGCATATATGGATATGGTATATGCATGCACATGCATATATGCGAGTGCATGTGTGTATGTGCATGTGAATGGTGTGCATACATAAATACGTATGTGTGCATTGCATGTGTATATATGCATATATATGCATATGTCTATGTGTATATGCTATATAAATGTGGGCATGTGTGTATGTGGTCCGTGTTTGTGCATATATGTATGTATGTGCCTCTTTATAGGTACATGTTTAGATATATGTTTTTATATATGTATATGTGGGTATGCATGTATATGATACATATGTTTATATCTATGTGCTTGTGTGAATGTGTATGCTTCTGCATATGTGTATAGCATGTGCATTATGTACGAGTAAGGGGATTGAGTGCAGAGGCTGACACCTGTAAACTCAGCACTTTGGAAGGCCTAGGCTAGAAGATCACTTAAGGACAGGAGTTCAAGAATGGCCTTGGCACCATATCAAGACCTCATCTCTACAAAAACATTTTAAATATACATATAAATTAGTATGTGTATATGTATGATGTATGTATACATGTATATATGTGTACATATATGTATATGAGTATTTGTGTGATATGTGTATATATCTGGCATGTATATGTGTATATGTATATATGGTATGTGCATGTGTATATGTATACAGGTGGTGTATATATGTATATCTATGTGTATACATGTGGGCATCATATATAAATATGTGTGTATCTATGTGTTTCTGTATGATTGTGCAAATATTTATGCATATGTGTATGTGAGTGCATGTTTATACATAGGTATACATGTGTGGTGTGTCTATGTACATATGTGCATGTGCGTGTGTATACATGTATGTGCATATGCGTGTATGATGTATATAAGTGTATCTTTATAAGTGTGTGTGAATGTGTATATATTTATGCATCTGTGTATGGTATGTGTATGTATATATGTCTGTATATGTGTATACACATGTGTGTGCATGTGCATATGTATAAATGTGTAATTCTAAGAAAAGTGCTCTTTTGCAGAATTATACGTATGTTTATACATATTTAAAAGAAAAAGCTAAATTAGAGCTGAATGCTGTGAAGCATTCACAACCGTGGTTGCACACAATCAACTAGAAAGATTTTTTTTTAAAAACAATACTGCACCGAGTCCAAACCTAAAAGCCCTGGGAAGCTTTTAGACAGAAAGGAGGACTGAAACCCACAATTTGAAAAACTGCCTAAGGCAATTCTGGTACAGAGCCAACCTCTAGAAATTCCGACTTACAGGTTTTTTGGATTTTTTTTTTCTTTTCTTCTCTCGCTCTCTCTTTTTTTTTTTTTTATTTGAGACAGCATCACACTCTCTCACCCAGGCCGAGGTGCAGTGGCATGATCTTGTCTCACTGCGGCATCAAACTCCTGGGCCCCAAGATTCTCCTGCCTCAGCCTCCTGTGTAGCTTGGATTACAGGTGTGACCCTCCACACCTGGCTAATTTTTGTATTTTTAGTAGAGACGAGGTTTCACCATGTTCTCCAGGCTGGTCTCCAAATCCTGGACTTAACCAATCCTTCCACCTCAGCCTCCCAAAGTGCTGGGAGTATACCAACAAGATACAGATCAATTAAAAAAAAAAAAAAAAAAAAAAAAAAAAAACAGGAAAAGTAATCTCTATGCTGGGGAAAAAAAGGGATTCTCACAACCCATGCAAATCCTTTGTAGTCGTAAGGCAAAGACATACCTCTCCTTCAGGGTCTGGGCGTTCCTAGGGGCCAGGCCATCTCAGCCATCCCTTTGCCTAGTGACAAATCACCACCAAGACCCCCCTGAAGGTTCTCTGCATATTTTTTTGCTGTTATCCCAACAAAGCATGCCCCAAGGACCACCAAACTCGAAGGAGCAGCTCTTTTCTCTCCACGAGAGTTTTTCTTTCCCATAAACGTGCCTGAGGAGACACTGTCTCCTCCCCATTTTCCACTTTGATAACGATAAAGACGGGATAGGCTGGAGATGAGATAAAAAGCACACACCAAGGAAGACTTCACCGTATGTGTTACCACTCCTGTCTCCTTTTCTATTCTTTTTGGACCCAAGCTGGTATAAGTTCCAGTGTCGGACCTTAGAAGCAGCATTTAGTCCTCCCGATGTGTGGGTTTCCAATGAACCTGCATTCTTTCTTTATTATCCTGACGGGACTCTTTACTGGATTTTTTTGGAAGTTGCCACTCATAGAGTTTAGGCACTTTTCTCTCTCTCAGTTTCGTGTAAGCCTTTTTCTATTTTATTTTATTTTTATTTTATGGCTATTTGACACAGAATGGCTGGGCTCCTGGCTAAACTCCACCCTCAAGCCCGGAACCTTGGACCTAAGTGAAAACAGCTGACCCCGTTTTTCCACCCAAATAGTTGCCCTTTCAGCCCGCTCCGCCCCCTATCCTGTGCCCATAAAAACCAGACTTCCGCTGGCAGAGCAACACAAGGGGTCGATGCAAGTGGTTGGGGAACCAAGCTGCTGAAGGTTGGGGACAGAAGCGGCTCATCGTCGGAGGCCACAGATAGACACACCTAACCTCAGACAGTGCAGCTTCCGAGGGGAGCCTGGCCATAGATGGCTGGGCCTAAGGGAAAGGTCACCATCTTTCCATACCATCCCCTTTTCAACTCCCCGTTCCACTGATAGCCATATCCATCACCCAATAAAATCCTCCACATACACTACCTTTTAATCTGCCCATGTTACCAGGTTTTTCCTGGATGCTGAACAAGAACTCAGGTGTCAAGAAAGGCAGGTACAGGAGGCTGTCACCCTGGCCCTTCACTGGGCTGTTAACATTTAGCCGTCCGGGACCAGCGGGCTGAGTGAAACGAGCCACTCCAGTTCCTGCCTATGAAGGAAGTCAAGAGAACAATCCCATCTCTTTCAGGGGCTCATCCAGGATACAAAAAGGGTGAGTTAAAATGCGGAATTGTTGGATCTGTCTCTTTTCTGAGACCCTGCCACCTCTCTCTTTCCTTCAGGTGAAAGGAATGTTGGTTCTGTTTCCCTTCATGAAAGTCTAGCTGATCTGAACCAGGGGAGGGATACAGTGACTAAAGAGGCCCTTTCTCCGGGTTCCCCGACAATCATGCACTTTAAGTTGCTTTTCTTCTTTTCCAAGTGAGAGAGGTCTTTTTCTAGGTCAACACTCAGGGAAACAACAGAGGAGCATCCCCTGCAGCTGTTAGCTATAAATTTGCCAAGGTCTGTTTGGGACTTAATCTAAATAAATCTACGCATTCCCCTAAATACTTTTTTTTTTTTTTGTCTCAAACTTGATGCCAAGCTTCAGGTTGAGACCCTAGAGAGAAAAACCAGATCTGAGCCAGGCAACAGGCCTTGTGTAAATAAGCAGGACCATTTCCTGTCAATCAAACCCCCGCTTTATGGAAGGAGGCCATAACTTCATGGCATAAATGGGGCCCAGGAAACTCAAAGGTTATTGACAGTAGGGAGGTAGAGGCATAGGTGAGTGCAGATAATTTTTATTCTCTACGTCTTCTCTGCTTCACGGGTGCAAGCTGCACTGACAGCCATGGGTGGCACCTGCCAAGGTAACTGCGACTTGGGGATGCAAAGATGGAAGAGGGAAGAGGGACACCCACTTTCTCTCTCTGTCATACCCCAGGTTATCCATGAAAGAAGAAAGAGAATTGAGGTATGCTTAACTCTCTGTCTTTCAGAATGGGCAATCAACACACTTTACCACCTCCAGTTTATACTCAGAAATGGACCCTGGGAACAGATAGTACTTTAGAGGACATCCTGAAAATGATCACCTTGGTCTTTTAGGCACAAGAAAGAGGTTGAAGCTTTACTGGCTGCCATGCAAGCTCATAAACCCCAGAATTCCTAAGGTTCACCTGTTAACTCCTACGGATGTGGCCAGAGCAGTTATCTGTCTCATAAAGTTTAACTGCTCCCATAGGAGGTTTAATTTCTTTCACCAGGGTGAGACAGCTTGGGGTACAATGTTGTTAGCATGTTTTACTTCTTGTTTCTGAGATGTTTGGCACTAGATTCTTTCTTTGGATAACACACGTTTGATCCATGCTACTTAACCTTGTAAAGCTTGTTTATTGTTTCACCTAGAGGCCATCAAGGCTCCAAACGGGCAGGCAGCTGGAGCCTCAGACGATGCCTCCCTTTTGCTGGGGATCTTTGGGTAAACCTCTGGGAGGAATCTTACTGCCATTTCCTCAAATAACATTCTCTTTCAGCAGGAAGTAGCTAAGACTGGTCATCATCCATTTTCTAATGGCAGTTAGATGCGCCTCTTTAAAGTGGAGAAATGATACAGAATGGCTGGGCCCCCAGCTAAACTCCACCTTCAAGCCTGGAACACTGGCCTAAGTGAAAACAGCTGACCCCATTTTTCAACCCAAATGATTGCCCTTTTGGCCTGCCACGCCCACTGTCTTGTGCCCATAAAAACCAGACTTCTGCTGGCACAGCAACACAAGCAGTTTTTGCGAGCAGTCAGGGATGCCAGCTGCTGAGCGCTGGGAATGCAACTGGCTGAGCGCTGGAGACTACAAAGAGACACTAACTTCAGAAGGAGAGCCTGGCCAGAGATGGCTGGGCTTCAGGGAAAGATCACCTTCTTCCCACACCGTCCCATTTCCAACTCCCCATTCCACTGGAAGCCACATCCATTGCCCAGTAAAATCCTCTGCATACACTACCCTTCAATCCATTCCTGTGACCACCTGGATGCCGAACAAGAACTTGGGTGTCAGAAAGGGCAGGTGCAGAAGGCTGTCACCCTGACTGACCGTTTGTTTGCTGGGCTGTTACCACTTAGCCATCCATGGACTGTAGGCTGAGTGAAATGAGCACCACTTCAGTTCCTGCCCATGAAGGGGGTCAAGGGAAAAATCCCATCTCATTTTTTTAAATTAATGTATCATAATTGTACATTTTTTTGTGAGAAAGAGCCTCACTCTTTTGACCAGGCTAAAGTGCAGTGGCACAATCATAGCTCGCTGCAGCCTTGACCTTTCAGTCTTAAGTGACCCTCCTGCCTCAGCCTCACCAGCTGGGACTACAGTTGTGCACCACCATGCCTGGCTGTGTACATATTTTGGGGGTGTGGGCAATCTTTTGAGCTGGGACTACAGTTGTGCACCACCATGCCTGGCTGTGTACATATTTTGGGGGTGTGGGCAATCTTTTGAAACATGCATACAATGTGCAATGATCCAATCAGGAAATTTGGGGTATCAATCGCCTCAAACATTCATATTTTCTTAGTGTTTGGAGCATTACAATTCTCTTCTCGCTATTTTGAAACAAAACAAACCATTGTTTTGTTTTGCTTTCATTTTCATTTTTGAGACAGGGTCTCACTGTGTCATAGGCTGGACAAATCATTGTTAACTATAATTTCCCTGTTGTACTTTCAAATACTAGAACTTATTCCTTCTATCCAATGGTATTTATGTGTCTCTCCACTGACTTCTCTTGACTTATGACATTCAATATACGTGCAACATAAGAAATATATCACTGTTTAAAATTAGATGCATACTAACATGCGAATCTTCAGAAATGGATGAGGGACTAGGAGTCCAAAGAGATTAGAAAAGATTTGACACATATGAAATAAAATAGTAAGAGCAAGTTTGTTTTTTTTTTTTGTTTTTTGTTTTTTTTTTTTTTTTTGAGACAGAATCTTGCTCTTTTGCCCAGGCTGGAGTGCAGTGGAATGATCTCAGCTCACTGCAGCCTCTGCCTCCCGGGTTCCAGCGATTCTCCTGCCTCAGCCTCCTGGGTTGCTGGGATTACAGGTGCGTGCCGCCACACCTAATTTTTTTATTTTCAGTAGAGATGGTGTTTCTCCATGTTGTCCAGGCTGGTCTTGAACTCTTGACCTCAGGTGATCCACCTGCCTCAACCTCCCAAAGTGCTGGGATTACAGGCATGAGCCACCCCACCCTGTCAAGAGCAACATTTTGAATAAAAAAATTTTTTCGATTTAGAGACGAGGTCTCACTATGTTGCCAAGGCTGGTCTTGAACTCCTAGACTCAAGCAATCTTCTCACATCAGCCTCCTAATGTTCTGCGATTACAGGCATGAGCCACTGCACCCAGTCAACTTTTTGTTAAGACAGGTTCTGTTCAAAGTAGATGATGATGGTTGAAATCAAAATAGCTTTTCATAGATTTTCTTGAAAATACATCACCATATAGAAGACATTTTCTCATGTGGACAAACCATCCATTTTACCCCCATGGGCTTTTCTTTTTCTTCATAATGTGAGAGCTGAAGCAACTACTTTAGAAACATGGATTTCAAAATTGTCTCCTTGTATGCAATCCTTATGAGAGTTTTAAGTTATGTCTGAATATTTTCAAATATGACCTGTGCAAGGAATATGGAAAATGGCGGCCAGGCAGAGAAGGAGTGGGTTCTTAGGTCACTCTTTGCATTGACATTTTAAACCACAGCCCAAGATCAATCAATTCCAGCTGGAGTGGAATATGAAGTGGTTGTTTGGGAAAGACTGGTGAAACCACCCATCTTTGAAATGTAAATAATGCGAGAAAATTGAACATGACCAACTCTGTTTTGCTTTATAACCTCACAGGCTACATTTTTGTTGCTGTGGTTGTGTTGTTGTATTTGTTATTGCAAGGTGCCCAAGAACAATGAGACCAATTTAGTTTGTAGTTAACCTTGGAGTCAAGGGAAACTGAACCCCTGCCTTGTTCAGAGATGAAAGCTGCATGCAGATGTCAAGGTTAGGATTATGGTAGGATCAAACTTTGCTCAAGAGTATGTACTGTGCCGGGCGCAGTGGCTCAAGCCTGTAATCCCAGCACTTTGGGAGGCCGAGGCGGGTGGATCACGAGGTCGAGAGATCGAGACCATCCTGGTCAACATGGTGAAACCCCGTCTCTACTAAAAATACAAAAAATTAGCTGGGCATGGTGGCGTGTGCCTGTAATCCCAGCTACTCAGGAGGCTGAGGCAGGAGAATTGCCTGAACCCAGGAGGCGGAGGTTGTGGTGAGCCGAGATCGCGCCATTGCACTCCAGCCTGGGTAACGAGCGAAAACTCCGTCTCAAAAAAAAAAAAAAAAAAAAAAAAGAAAAAGAAAAAAGAATATGTACCGTCAGGCTGGGCACAGTGGCTCATACCCGTAATCTCAGCATTCTGGGAGACTTAAACAGGATGATTGCTCGAAGCCAAGAGTTAAGAGGTTAGACAGGGCAATACAGCAAAATCCCATTTTTACCCCAAAAATTAAAAACTATTCACATATGGTGGCATGTGCTTGTGGTTCCAGCTACTCAGGAGGCTGAGGTGGGAGGATCATTTGAGTCCAGGAGGTTGAGGCTTCAGTGACCATGATTGTACCACTACACTGCAGCCTGGGTAACACAGTGACCCCCCCTCCGAAAAAAAGTGAGTCTTAAAAAGAACCCAGAGTAAATGAATTTACTTGATGCTCAGAGTATTTCTTTTGGGATGCTGGCAGTGTAAATGCAGCTGGCAAGTCCGGGTGTATAACATGAGTGCTAACAGTTTCGGGTGTGGATCTTGATTTTGCTACCAGCTCAGAAGGATGTGGAAGCCTGAGAAACAAACTGAAATTCCTCACCCAGCATGATTATAGTGAAATGTTCTCCAGACAGCTGCAAAACGTGTGTTTAACACCAGTGTTTTCACCCAGGGTGTTTCTGTCCCCCGGGAGACATTATACCATGGCTGGAGATATTTCTGGTCATCACGACTGGGGAGAAGGTGGTCGTCACCAGCTGCTTCTAGGGAGTGGAGCTCAGGGATGGTTTTCAACATTGCACAATGTACAGGACGGCCCCTACAATAAAGGATCATCCTACTCAAATGTCAATAGTAGGGTAGTGACATAACCATGCCTCATCCCAGAACATAGAATGGCAGA